TCGCCACCTTGTTTAATTATTTTAGGGTAAACTAGGAAAAAACCCTAAGTTGACTCCAATTTTAATTAACCTAATAGTTACTAGATTAATTATCCCAATGTGTAAAGCATGGTATGCAAACCCGAGATGGATCCCGAGACTATGTCATGCTGATAAACTAACCGATGAATGAATGTTTTGCAAGGTAAATGAGGGATTAATGAAATGTTTGAGTGATTTTGGTGATTTCGACTTGCCGCCCGGGGTGAAATCCCGGACGTGCCTACGTACTTCCGTTTGAATGGAAAATCAAAGTCAACGTAGTTCGATAGGCCTCTTTTAGAGGGCTTTGAATTATGCTTAAATGCATGAGTGTTAAGCATGAGTGTGATGTATGCTTCGTTGCATTTTGGTTAGGCAGGTTTTGTCAAAGAATTGATTCGGTTTTAGCATTGTTGCCAAAAATGATATTTGATCAGGGCCATTTATGGCCAAAATTGATGTTTGGGCTTTTACTGCCAAAAGTGATTATTTGAAGGCTTTAGCCAAAATGGAGTTGATTTAGGCAATTTGTTTGCCCAAAAGTGTTGATTGGGCGATTGTCGGCCAAAATGATTGATTTAAGGCTTTTAGCCAAAAAGATTGCATTAATTTCAAGGCATATTGCCAAACTTTCGATTTAAGCATTTGTCGTGTCGCTAAAAAATGGTTAATCTACTTATAGGCAATTTGTTTGCCAAAAGAGATCAATTGAATTGCAATGTAGGCAATTTATTGCCAAGAAAAAACGCGTTTAATTAAGGCTATTTAGCCACAATTATTGATTAATTGGGCTTAAGCTGAACTGTTCGAAATAAAGACGATTATACCATAGTCATTAATTAACTACGTACTTTTAGCCAATATTGTCGGATTTAGGCTTTAACACCATGATTATTAATTAACCGGCCATTTTAGCCTAAAATCTTTTAATTGAGGCAGTTTATTTGCCTAATGATGACATGAATGCATTTATGCAGTTGTAGAATTTGGAGTAGAAGAGAAGCATGCATGAAGTGCTAAAATTAAATAGGCAGAGTTTAGTTTATGTACCTGATTTAAACGACGGCCACTTCTTAACTCCAGGGCCTTCTTCTTAGCTTCAGCTTGAAAATTCCATTATTAAGCTCCTCGTATTGGGGGAATATTTAATTAAGAATGGAATTAATTCGCTTAAGTGACCAAATATCACACAGCAGCAATTAATAAAAGCCTACACTAAATTGCAAAAAGGCAGAATAATAAAAGCCTACACTAAATGCAAAAAAGCAGTAAAAGAACCGCAAGGAGTGTAGGGGAGAAGAGAGCGTCCGTCAACACGGACTGAGTGCCTAAAACTGTCGATTCGGGGCCGTATTTATAGGAAAATCCGGGCTGGAGGGCGGCAGCTGCCTCCGTGGACGGCGGCCGCTGCCGCCCTATCCTGTCCACTCGCTAGTTTTTCACTCCAAAGGCTTTTTAGGGAGTTCCATACCTCCAAAAAATATTCCGGGACTAGCTCTGCGATCCTCGTAATTTTCCGGACGTTTCAAGTACCCTCCTCCGACGGCGGGCGTAGCCGCCTCCGATGGCGGGAGGAGCCGCCTCCGACGGCTGGAGCAGGTGCCTTCAGCGGCGGGAGCAGCCGCCTTTGGGTATTCACAGTTGCCCCCCACCGGCAACCATAAAAATGATTTATGGGAGTCGGTGGTTGTTTGAAACACAAATTTTTGAAGGCGAAAATTAGACGTGTCCAAAAGACCTGCCTTTTAGCCTTTTCCTTATAAATAGCTTGAAATTCTCACTTTTCATTCATTCTAAACTCTCCAAATCAAAGAGCTTTCTCAATTTCTAAAGCCTCAAAGCTTCCTTCCTCTATGGCTTCCTCAGATCTTAGCGATGAGGATTTTCTGGGGTCTCTAGGGATTTCCCTCGACGAGGTCAATGTTATGGCGGACGCTGACACTCACGCCTCCGTAACTGGCATCTACGCCCGGGTAAGCTCCCTTTCACTTTTATTTGCTTTAATTATTTTTTTGGCGCTTAGAGGCCAAAATGTGAATTTTTGGGCCTTAGGGGCCAAAGTGTGAATTTTTGGGCCTTAGGGGCCAAAATGTGAATTTTTGGGCCTCTATGAATAAAAAATATTAACGCCTGAAAAAACACCATTGCTATAATAGTATTTTTCCATTCAACATTTTTATGTCTTTCATTCTAGTTAAAAAGAAATATTTTTATGTTTTTTTAATTACAAATATCAATAATATGACTAATAAATATAACAACATTGAGAAATTTATGAAAGGTAGTTAAAAAAAAGGAAAAATCCCTGAGGTTTTACATAATTATTGAAGTAATCCTCGACATTTATACATATATTTATAACGTCCCTGAGTTTTGCCACCATCATATTAATTTGTCCTTCCGTAAAAAAAATACACTTTTTCCATTAATTTTAATAAGAAAAGACGAAATTATCCTTTGAAAAAATAATTATTTCGTTCCTGAGGTTTGCCATAATTATTAAATAGTCCCCTACATTTATACAAATATTTATAACCGAGTGTATACCCCTTAAAGTGTATCTAACTCTCCTATATGATACACAGAAAGCTTCCCTGAGGTTTTACTTTGTCATTAGTTAATGGTCTCTCATAAAAAAAAAAATACACTTTTTTTCTTTTTCGTTCCTGAGGTTTGCCATAATTATTAAATAGTCCCCTACATTTATACAAATATTTATAACGTCCCTGAGGTTTACTTTTGTCATATTAATTGGTCCTCATAAAAAAAATACACTTTTTTCTTTAATTTTGAGTGAAAAATACGAAATTATCCTTTATAAGTTTTCATTGACATTATTATTAATCCCTTTCCTCTAAAATACCTGAAACTCACATTTTTACCATCTTCCTCAATCCAACGCGGTCTTCATTGTCATCACCATGTCTCTGTCAAGTATCATCTCCATAACCAGATCACCAACAAAACCATTCAATAACAAGTATTTTAACCAAATTATATTAGACTAAAATGTATAAATACTATTATGGTTTCTTACATGTTTATATATGCATGTTAGTGTTGGTATAACATTCATAATGCTATTTATGCATTGAAATTATCATGGATGAAGTCAAAAAATATAAATTTTCATGCAATACTGAATTACATAATTATGGCAAACTTTAAAATTAAATTTACAAATATTAGTTTATGATAATTAACTAGCAAATCATGCCATAATTTATGCTCATTAATCCCAAGCTAAGTGAACATGCAACTTAATTAATTCTAGTTTAATCATGCAACTCTAAATTAATCATGTAATTAACTAAGCAATAAGTTAATTATGCTTTATTAAGTTCTAAATTCAACTAATAAATCTATGTAAAATAAAATAAAATAGGTCATGCATTCAACTAATTAATTCTAGCCTAATGAATTAATTCTAAGTCATTATGCAATTACTAAAATTAATCATGCAATTAATTAAGAACTAAATTAATCTAATTAATCCTATGAAATTAATTAAAAATGGGTCTATATTTAATTAATTAATTCTAGTCTAATTAATTAATTCTAAGTGATCATACAATTATTTAATTTAATTCTAAACTAATTAAACCTAAATAGTAATGCATTTAAATCTAAGCTAATTAATTCTAACTAGGAATTTAATTAAATTTAGATTAACTTAATTAAATATTAAATTCAAGCTATTTAATTTTAACTAGGCATCTAATTAAATTTAAACTAACCTAATTAAATATTAAATCTAAGCTCATTAATTCTAACTAGACATTTGCTTAAATCTAAACTAGCTTGATTAAATGTTAAATCTAAGCATGTATATTAAAAACCTCTTGTAGTGTGCTTTAACGGTGTCTCACAGGTAGTGACTTCATGATTTTTTCATCCCATGCGTCCAAATTTTTCAACTCGAAGAGTCCTCAAAGGACTCGAAAATGAGTATTAAAACCCTTAGACTATTGGGCATCTTACCTAGATGGGAATCTTCTTCTCAATCACACTTTTTAGGAGCAAAAGCCCTTCAATAGGTTTCTAATATTGCTCCACCAAAAGAATGATTAATTGTGTTTTGGTGAGTTTTGAGGGGTATTATCGGCTAGGAGAGTGGGGGTGAGGATTATGTGCAAGCAATATGGGATTGAGGTGCTTTTGGATGAAAAAAGGGTGCAAAAGGGTGTTTTTTTGGTATATTTTTTACCAAGGACTGTCCAGAGGCAAACAGCCAAAGTTGGCTAGCGGCCGATTGTGAGACCCCTAGTTGGCCAGTAACACTGGTTTGGTTTAGGTTTTTAATTTGGATGGTTCGAGGTTTGATTCCACTTTGATTTTGGTGTAACACCTCAAAATTTCAGGTCTTAAAATAATATTACTATACTGGGTCATAAATGGTATTGTTCGGTAGGAAAATGATATTTATTTGACCCAAGAAGAATATTAATCATAATTAATAATTATGGAGTTAATTATACTTTATACTATGATTAATTAAATTTAAAATTTAAATTTCTTATGGTCTATTATTTTATTGGTGAATAATGTCATAGGGGTAGTTTAGTAATTTCACATGTGTAGATATTTAATTTATTAAGATATGATTTATGCTCATATAGATGAGTTATGGTGCCATAAAATATTTTAGTAATTTTAATTATGTGGAGGATTAATTTATGACATGACATATGTAAATATTGAGTTTTTATAATGTGCAGTTAGACTTAGTGTAGTGTTTAATTCTAGCCTTAGGATGAGAGAAACCCCAAATAAATCCTAGTCTTCTATCTATAAGACTTTTGACCAAGTAAATCTTGTCTCTACACAATGGTAAATTACCATATTGCCATTGATGAATTATTATGAGCCTTTGGATGAGATTTTAAGATCTAATCTCCATTGTCCATTTAGAGAAATTATCAAAGTGTCTAAAAGTCATCTGAAACCTAAATAATTAAATATGCAACAACCCAACTTCTTCTTCATCAAAACCCTAGCCACCCAAACCAAGTTCTCTCCCTCTCTCCTCCATTTTTCTCCACAACACCATCAAAGGCATAATTTTTGAACAAGTTCAAGCAAAAAATATTTTAAGTACTTAAGCTAAGGAAGTGACTTCTTGCATCAAAATCCCGGATTTTCATCATTTTGTAAGCTTTCTTTCACTAAAATGTACTTTATCTCTTTCTCTCTCATTTAAAGTCTTAGTATTTTTCAAACTAAGACTAGAAATAAGTTCTCATACATTTATTTATGTTATTCATGTATTTAGATTTTATTTTCATTAATTCTATGTATTTATTTTAGATTTTTTTTTCTTTCTTAGAAGGTTCTACTTCCAAGAATAAGGGAAAAGAGGTGTTAGAGGGTTAGTATTTTGGAGGTCTGCGCTATTTTTGCCATTTTAGATATTTTAGAAATTCCTTGCTTGCTTTTGATGTTATTATGTAAGCAAATGTGATTTTTATATTACCTATGTCTTGATCTATGCTTAAGTTGTAGTCTTTGAGCTTAGTATGCTTTATGTGATAATTTATTTTTAGTGTTTAATCCTAGTCTGAAAATGTAGGGGTTGTCCCCCCTTTTATTTTTCATGGTTTTCATGTTATTTTAACATTATGGTGGATACCTTTTATGATTTTATGGTATAGATGTAATATGAGCTTGTTTGTGCTAAATGAGTAATTTTTTCTTGTGTTTTGCTTTGGATATTTGATCATTTGGTTTGTGCTAAATGAGAGTAAAATTTTTTCTTGTGTCTTTGCTTTGGATATTTTGATCATTTTAAAGTTTATTTTTCATGGTTTTCATGTTATTTTAACATTATGGTGGATACCTTTTATGATTTTATGGTATAGATGTAATATGAGCTTGTTTGTGCTAAATGAGTAATTTTTTCTTGTGTTTTGCTTTGGATATTTGATCATTTAAAGGGATGTTCCTCCTTGTTTTTCATGTTAAAAATGATTATCTTGATGACTGAAATGGAACATAATTGTGGTTTGATGATAGAAGTATAATATATGTCCAAATTAATGAGAAAAATGCATTTTGATTTATTTTTACTTGGAATTAAGTGTAGGGGCTCCTACCTCTCACTATTTCGTATTTAATATCTTATGTTTAATTATCTATTTATGGTAATTAAACATATATTAAGGTTTGTCTCAAGTCTCATGAAGTATGATTGGTAATTTAATGATTTAATCATGTTTTTACGTTAATATGTGTTTATTAAAATGAGTTTAGGGTGCAAATATTATATTTTAATTTTATGATATGTAATTAAAATGTTAATGATGTTATATGATGTGAATTGTAAGTTTAATATGGCTATTAGTGAATTAAGTGATATAATTGAATTTAAATGATAATTGGGTCAAACCAATTGGGCAAAAGCCCAATTGTGAAATCACAAGGATAAATTGGACATGATCCATGGACTCATGGCACAATACCCATGCTTGGAGGAGTTAATAGAACAAATGGATGACTTTGGTGGTCATTTGTCATGTTGAATTTAATGCATTGGAAATGTGTCAGTCTTGAAAATTGTGTCAATTAATGAATTAAAAATGATTATATGAAAATACAATATAATTGATAAATTGATTGAATGATATGAATTTAAGTGCCATGATTAAATATTTTATGAAATAAAATATTCTTTATGAACATGATATGAATTTATGCAGTTATATATGAATTATGAGATTTAAGTATGGTTATATAATTTTATGGAAATGAAAATTATGATGAAATATTTAGTATGGAAAAGTATGATTTTTATGAATAAATGAAATTTATATGAAAGAAAATATTTTTTGGATTGTAATAAAAGATTCCGGTGTATTTATGAGATAGTAAATTCTAAATGTTGATATAGATGAATTATGAAATGAATTAAATATAATGAATCTTTTACTGACCCTAGTTTACTTGGTCAAGTCAGTAGTAATATAGAGGTATGACATGCCATAGAAAAAAAAATACTTCTATATGTGACACGCAATGTCTTATAAGGGCTAACGAACCCTATGATTATTTGATCTGACTGAAGGATCGTTGATATTATATGGCCTTTCGAGCCATATATTTATTATGAAATTCTCTGTCTACGGTTTGATTCTTCTAAGTGAGCAAGTGGTCTAATTAAAAATGCTGTTTTTTCATGAAATAAATCAAGAATTAAATTATTGCTTTTATGGAGTTATACTAAATTATGTGACTCTGTGACTGAGTATGTAGTTATGATTTTATTTATTGGTGGATGATTTTTGAATTTAATATTACATGCTAAATTATGGATATTTTATTATGTGATTGAATTAAGCCCTACAATGTTGAATATTGTGATGGCATGATTAAATATATATTTCTGCGTACATGAATCCTGAAATGAACTGTATCTGCTAACTAATTAAAATAATATTATTATGTAATTAAATAAATAATTAATCGTTTTGCTATTTATGGAATTATCTAGTCTGTTGTGGTGATATGACTATATAAGGCACTAGGCTAAAATTTAGTGAATTGATTAAAGTGATTATGTATTAAATGTTGATTGATGAATATTATAATTGGTGATTTAATAGCTATTAACTATTGATTACGATTGTTTCGAGCTGGTAAATAATTTATGATATTGAAATGATGATTGTGAAAGTTTTGGCATGTGACTAAATTATAAATGCTGACTAATTGTAATTAGCCTATGAATAGATTATGTTATGAAATGTTTAATCATATGCCTTGAGATTTGATTATGCTATAATTTATGAATTTATGATTATATGCTTATATGTGATTTCCTATGAAATGGGAAAATAAGCATCACTAAGTTTTATGCTTAGCACGTTGGATTTTATCACGTGCATGTGGTAGATGATGGTTGCAGAAGAATAGTAAGATGGATGTTTCAGAGCAGTGGATAGATTAAAAGTAATTATAATTATTCGATTTATTGTAATATTAATGGCATGTAGTTAACTATTTGAGGTTATATATTAATATGATGATTTATAGAATATTGTATCTAAATTATTGTATATGGTCTCAGAGACATATGTATACGATAGTGCAGTATGATTGTTAATCTTGTATTGACCTTAGATGAGTTATTATTAGATCATTTATTTAAAATTCTCGAATACTATACTTGAGGTAATTCATTTATGAGAAAATATTACGGATAATGAATTAGAGATTTTTTTTTTCCAATATAATGAGATGTTTATTATATAGGGGAAACACTTTTAGTCCTTCAATAGTAATTTTCTAAGAAATCTTCTAAGACGTATTTTGGAGACTCTTAAATTTATAGATGTTAAGATATAATATTGAAGGAAGGTTATAGTCTAAGATTTATATAGTGGCTCTGTGCCTTCGTCACAGAATTGTAACACTGATTATCTAGTCTTATAGGACTGGATCATGGGTGTTACATTTAGCCCATAATATACCGTTAGAAAGCTGTATATGTCTAGTTTTTAATCCAACTTTAATCATCTAAAAATTGGATCGACACTAGAGATACGATCTAAAGAGTAGATAAATGTCACTTTTGGGTGCTTTCTGTGTGTAGTGATATGTGCTCATAGTTCAGGAACCAAATTAATTCATATTTTGGCTCAGAGTATATCTTTGCAAAGCTATTTGTGTCTAGTCTCTAATTGTATAAGTTCGTGCCAAAATTATTTCTATGGACAAGGGTATGGTTAAAAGAGTGAGCAAAGGTCACCTCTGTTTGCTAGGCTAACTGTCACGACCCGTTTCCATGGGCCAAACCGACACTAGGGCCGAGGTAAGCTTAAGGCCCTCGAGGCCCTTAGTAAGTCTAAACTACAAAACCCATACACGCCACACACAAAATCTTAGAAACAGTAAGCCCATATGAATTAGAATGTATATGTATATATCTAATAAGCACACATTACTAGCCCAATCTCAGATGTCTCGAACAAAACATACTTCGGGCCTAATGATTATACATACGCTCAAAGAAAATAATGAAAAAATCTATGCACTCATAAATTAACGTACCTATTTTAATACACGACTATAGGTACATAATGCCTACAACTGCGGAGTTCACTAACAGATAAATACAAATAAGTCCCCGTACATATGACTATTTAATGAATTAATTTCTGAAATTAGCAAATTCTTTTCTAGCTCTGTGGTGAAGGGAACAGAGCTTTAACCGGGACAGAAGAATCTACTTCTTGAAAGTTTAAACAAGAGATATGTGAGTTTATCAATGAATATTAATTATTGCACACACATGCATTCACACGAATGTGTAAATATATTAATCTAGTCATCCGACTAGATATATGATCATGCAGGCGATCACGCAAATGACACAACAACAACAATCACAATTATTAACACCTTCACATAATCACAATGGACACAAACAACAACAATCACAATTATACACCTTCACATAATCACATTCACGTCGGAAATTGATCTGTGGGCATCACCGAAAAAACTGCCTTACCCCTGCTATCTTAAGGCTAAGCGATTGCATAAGGTAACTAATGAATGTTCATAAGGTAACTAATGAATGAATATAAATATTTACCTAATCTCCACATAACAACTAATATGCAATTTAGCTAATAGATAGCCAACCACCTGCTACTAGGTTCATATTTCATGTTATAAAGTAACTAATTCAAGGTTTTATATATTTGTATAACCAAAACTTCTATCAATTTTAAATCATACTAATAATAATCCTAACTATCTTTTTAATACTAGTTAGTTCCAAATATAAACTTAAATGCATCTAATAAAATTCCAAATTCTAGCCACTGAAACCTACGTTTAAATCCTCCTAAAATCTCCAACTAATTCACAACTTCAAAGCCTAATATTTCAAAGTCTCGCAATTAACTATCTATTTGAAATCAACTAAATTACCCAGTAAATTTAAACTTGAAATTTATACTAAAAATTTGGAATTGGGTCTTAGAGCGTACCAATTGAGATTTGGACGACGATTCCACAATCCACGCGAGGAGAGAAAGATTCTATCTTTTGGTGCCTTGCCGGAGGCTCGCCGAACCGCCGCTGCCGGCCCGCTGTGGACGGTGGCCAGTAAATCCCAAACAACCCAGAATTTATATATATATAAAGGTCGTGATTGTTTACTATTGTCATAACAGTATATTTACCATTCAACCCTTTTCTCTTTTTGCCTTTAGTAACATCAACCCTCAGTAAATTGTCTTTTCATGCAATAGGCCAATTAGTCCAAAACTTTTTCAACCTGCCAAGACATTCTTCGTCTATTTTTTTTTTTTTTGGTTAAAATGTGCCTATTCTATAATTTTCAAAAAAAAAATGTACTTACAACCACCACTATTATTATTAATAAGTGATAATCTAATAAATTTATTCTATCAATTTATTGTTCATTTACATATTATTATGTATATTATTGCTCTATTAGTACAAAATTTTAATGGCAAATTTGTTAACTTTGTTGAATAATAATAATAAAAATAATAATAATAGGAAAAATTTCACTTTGAAATTCTCAAATAATTTTCTTGTCATATTGACTATGAGTAAAACCCCTAGCACTTAATAGGTTCATGCATACATAAGGGAGTTGCATATTTTCTTTTTTTCTGAATGTTGTAGGTGATAAAATGGTCACCCC